GGCTCCTTATTAAGGAACGGATTGATCCTCCCCACAACCCAACCCACCACATCCCGACTCTGCTGGATTTGGCTTCAACCCAAAGCTTTGCTATGACTGGTGATGGCTAGCAACCTACCGTGAAGCGAGCCATGGAGGAATGTTGAGCAGATTGAGACAAAAATTTAAGGTGTCTCCCAGGTTTTTACCACCACTCGCTCACCAGGCAATCTCTCCTCTGTCTGTCTCTCTCTCTCTCCCTTGTTCCTTTCGTCTCTCTGTCTCTTTCCTCAGTCTTCGGAGCACACGTGCTCCCTGGTGCTCAGGTCATTAGTGTCTGGGTCTCAGGAAGGGAGGGGAGGCCCTTTTGCTTCCTGTCCTGCTCTGTTTTATCCCTCATCTCAACAGAAACCAATTTGATACACAACGCCTTATCACGTCATCAATCCTTCACAGGATTCCACTGCAAAGACTGCGTGTGTTCGTGTCCCAGTGTTAACTTTGAGTTGAAAACAGTAAAACAAAGGTCTGTTTATTAACTGGCTTCTGTTTTCGGGTGTGGGGATGGAGGAGGGGGAGAAGAGCCAGGTGACTGTAAATCAGAAGCAGGAATAGGGCTGGTATACAATTGCAGCATATTTATTTTCTGTAGTAATTTAGCTAATTAGTGTGTCAACCGGAATGGAAAGGCTTTTATCTTGGAACCAAATTCAATAACAACTTTCAAAAGGGAATTAGATAGGCACTTGAAAAGAAAAAAATTGCAAAGATATGGAGAAAGAGCGAGGGAGTGGGACTGATTGGGTAGCTCTTCCAAAGAGCCGGCACAGGCACAATGTGCTGAATGGCTTCCTTCTGCGCTATAATATTCTACGATCTTGATGAGTGGGGTCTCTCTGTGTCTGCTAATGCTTTAGTAGCATTGAGTGCGAATAACACAGTGAAGTGGGGTGCGGAGAGGCCGGACATACCTGGACGTGGGGAGCAGCATGTAGTCCCATAGGGTATTGGTTAGCGGGTTTGCCTCTCAAGCAAGAGGACTGGGGTTTGTTTCCCGGATGGGGCAAAAATAATAATTTAGTTACTCAATCCACCATTTTTTGTGGGACTGCAATATCAATGCAATTTTAGCTGTTTAGACTCCAGGAGTTAGCCCAACCCACACTTTGGGATCCCCAAGCCATGGCTCTTGCCAACTTGTGCATAATACTTTCCGGAATTAGGTAAGCAGGATACGTCCCTCCAGGGAGAGAATATGCATTCCATTCCAGCAATCTAACTCTGGGATTTCCATGAGTAGGTGGGATGCATGGAATTCTCAGCTTGGTTTGGATACTAGTAAGCACTATGATTGGTTTGTGCATGTGTCAGACCCCCTGCTAAACCCCTCAAAATTAATAACTTGTGGGACCTTGCTGTGTGCAAGGTCTTTTTTTCCCCATTGTTTTTTTTTATTTGTGGCTTGTTTCCCCACAAAAATATACATTTTACAATATATCCTGTGCATTGCTTTGAGACGACTCAACAATGTGATAAGGCATGATATTAAATGCAAGGATTATTGTTATTAATAGTGGAGACGGGAAGAGAATCAAAGGCAGTCGCAAACTAGAGCTTGTTTCTAATAAGCGGTATTTAATCTCCTCCACACTGTAGTAATAATAATATAATCCTTGCATTTGATATAGTACCTTATCACTTTGCTGAGAAGTCTCAAAGTGCTTCACAGAATATGTAGTGTAAAGTATATTTTGAGGGTGAAACGCGACAGCCAGTTTGCACAAACAGCAGTAGAGTGAGTGACCAATTTTATCTGGCGGATTGTTGGCCTGGACACCGGGGGAAACTCCCTTCTCTTTTTGAATATTGCAATGAGATCTTTAATGTCCACCTGAACAGGTAGATAGAGTCTCGGTTTAACGTCTCATCCAAAGGACAGCACCTCCGACAATGAAACACCGTCCCAGGATTGCATTGGAGTGTCAACTTACTCTATGTGATTCTATGTCGTGACCGTGGGGCTTGAACCCACAACCTTCTGACTCTGAGGCAGAGTGCCACTGCTGCGCCAGGCGGAGGCACAACCTGTGTGGCCTGTGGATCTCAAACTAGTGCCCCGATTCTCTGCAGACAAAGGTGAAGGATAAAGCAAATGTAATGTGCGGTACTTTATTTAAAGCAAAGGGTCACTGTACTCCGTAATTCTCTCCATGAATCATACCCTTTCAGTCTCTGTGCCCTGGAGCCACTCCGGTGTGTTTGTTCAGACTTGTCTCTGGAATGTTCGGCCCCGTGTGGGGGCTGGGCTCGGAGACCGCTACACACAGCACAGACAGATTCACATTGTACCCGTTGCCAGTGACTGGTGTTTTCGGAAGGGTGGGCGATAGCTGCTCCCAAAACAAATACAAGCGTGTCAATCAGCAGCACACAGTGAGGTACAGTAAGCAAGACAGGAGCTATAAAAACAGCCCATTTAAGAGGTTTTTGATAACAATTTGATGGGTTAACTGCAATATTATGCTAGCCTAAACATAGCAGTTTTATTTACTTGTCGTTATCCAGTTACTGTGTACCTGTCGTCTGTGTATGGTTTGGTTTTCAACTTACCACTTGCTAACTAACCATCTGTATTTAAAGGCGTATCGCTTCCCAAGTACTGTTTGTAGCCACTGACATTTAAAGGGGTATCGCTTACCATTGTCATAATAAAAATAATCCTTGCATTTGTGGAGTCCTGTTGCTCAGTGCACTTGCTTTGCAAGCGAGAGACCTGAGTTCAATTCCAGGCAGAGGGCGAAACCTTGGGCAAGTTTCCTTACTCCACACAGAGCCTAATAATAATCCCTCCAAAAACAATAATAAATTGGTCATTTTCAATCTACGACTGTTTGTGGGACATTACTGTGCGCAATTGGCTGCCGCGTTCGCCCACAAATATACAGTCAATTCACTTTACAGTGTGTTCTGTGAAGCGCTTTGGGACGTCCTCTCGACGTAAAAAGCGCTATACCAAATGCAAGGATTATTATTATTATTATTATTATTGATACAACACTGTGTCACATCATTAAGACGTCTCAAAGCGTTTCACAGGATATACTATCAAATGGACTGACTTTGTATTTTGGGAGCAAAACATGGCAGCCAGTTGCGCACAGCAATGTCCCACAAACAGCCAGAGAGAGAAACTGCAGGGGGCAGAACGATTGAAGGTCCCAACCACCAATGATGTGTTTCATTTGAATGACCGTAGCAGCTACCTTGTTTACAGCAACATTCCAAGAAACAGCAATGAAACAAATGACTGATTATGTCTAGTGACCAAGAAAAGCTCCCTTTTCCTTTTTGAATACTGCCACAGGAATCTTTCACGTCCATCTATAAGTTGTTCTCTGGTCTTCTCTTTTATCTGCTCACTCCTCCTACACTACAGTGAAACTCACTTAAATTGTATCAGTTGGGACTATAACATTTAATATGAAAAGCGAATTTTGAGTTGCAGGCCAACTCTAGAAGTCGTAGAAAATCTTACTTAATCAGTAATCTACACTGTGCATGTGTAATTTCATGCAGCCGTAAGTGCGCATGAGGTAGTTCGGTAAATGAGGCATTCAGTGAATGTGCATGCAGTGACGAGTCAAGGCTTTACATTTCCCACGATTCAATGCGACCTGGAAGTGTGCATACGTCGACAGGTAAATGCAGGAGTAATGAAGGATAGGGAAGCAGCGCTACGGTTAAGAAATGATTAATATGAGTTGTGTAAAGAAATCTAAATGGTTTTGATAGAAAACTGAATGGGACTTGGATTGCATGTACAACTTAGGCAATTATACGATTTATAAAGATAAAACTTATGCAAATTTCATTGTATTTGGTTCTCTGATACAGGACCACCATTCAATCCATGTCATTGACCTTTCAACGTTTGTTACTTGGGATCGTTTTGATTCCAGCATTTCTGTACATTCACATTTGTGCAAATGACATTTTGCTGTGAGCGGAGCCTCAGGGTTTCCCACCTGTTCAGAGCCTCAGCTATTTATTAATAATATAATAATAATCCTTGCATTTGACATAGCGTTATCACTTTATTGAGATGTCTCAAAGCGCTTCACAATGTATACTGTAAAGTGCAGTCACTGTGTATTTTGTGGGTGAAATGCATCAGGCAATTGCACACAGCAATGTACTGCAAACAACCATGACCAATTGACCAAGAATGACCAATTTTATTTGGGGAATTGTTGACCAGGACGCCGGAAGAAACTCCCTTCTCTTTTCAAATAGTGTCATGAGATCTTTAACATCCTAGGTTAATAATAATCCTTGCATTTGATATAGCGCTTTTCGTGTCTTCTAGACTCTTAAAGTGCTTCACAGAATAGACTGTAAAGTGAATTGACTGTATATTTGTGGGTGAAATGCTGCAGCCAATTGAGCACAGCAGTGCCCCACAAACAGTCATGGATTGAAGTGACCAATTTATTTATTGAGGGATTATTATGAGGCATGTGGAGCAAGGAAACTTGCCCAAGGTTTCACCCTGCCGGGAATTGAACCTAGGCTTCTCACTTGCAAAGCGAGTGCTCTAACCACTGAGCTACAGGACTCCAGGTTTAACATCAATGCCATGAATTGAATGGTGCTCCTTTATAGTGCCAGATGGGACCTCGGCTTAACATCAAAATCCAAAGGGCCGCACCGCTGACAATGCAGCACTCCCCCCAACGCCACACTGAAGTATCAGCCTGGACTGTGAGGTCAAAGTACCGACGTGGAGCTTAAACCCACAACCTTCTGACTCAAGAAGCATTTAACTAGAAAAACAGTCACTACACTTCACCAAGAATTAACAAACGCGATAATGTGCTCAATTGCAAGGATTATTATATTATTACGTTTATTGGCAATGCCTACGATTTAATAACTAACAGTTTTGATGTTTTCCCGTTTTCCTTTCTGATATTAGAACGAGTCCTCCTTGTTCACAGGCATTCTCTGAACTTTCCTTTCAGGCCTTGTTGAAGCTGGATTGCCAGGGGCTGGTGGCCAGGCTCATTCAGGACTTTGTTCTGCTCACCAGCGCTGTGGAGGTGGCTGCGCGATGGAGGGAGCTGGCTGAGAAACTAGCCAAAGTCTCCAAGCAACAGCTAGACGCTTATGAAGCTCCTCACAGGGACAAGAGCGGCCTTATTGAAACGGAGGTGAGGTCATTTTCTCCCGCAGTTTGATGCAGTCCATGTCCGTTTGTCTGTTGTGAAAGCTGGGTTGTTATCACAATGAGGGCTTGTCTTCATAACTTGATAAACAGGAACTGGGTTTCCTAAGGAACTTATCAGCACTCAACACAACTCCCCCATTCCAAACTTGGACCAATTTCCTTTTTTCTTGCATTCCACTGGCTCCCCATCCCCTAGAGCAGAGATGGCTAACTTGTGGCCCACGTGACTATTTGACATGTGTGTAATGCAGCACGTATTCATTTTTAATGCATAGTCTAAGGAATCACACAATCTAAACTGACACTCCAGTGCAGTGCTGGGGGTTGTTGCATTGCATTGTCCAGCCCTCGTGGAGTCCTGTAGCTCAGTGGTTAGAGCACTCGCTTTGCAAGTGAGAGACCTGAGTTCAATTCCAGGCAGGGCGAAACCTTGGGCAAGTTTCCTTACTCCACACAGAGCCTAATAATAATCCCTCCAAAAAAACAAAAACAATAATTAAATTGGTCATTTTCAATCTACGACTGTTTGTGGGACATTGCTGTGCGCAATTGGCTGCCGCGTTCGCCCACAAATATACAGTCAATTCACTTTACAGTGTGTTCTGTGAAGCGCTTTGGGACGTCCTCCTGACGTGAAAAGCGCTATATGAAATGCAAGGATTATTATTATTATTATTATTGTCGGACGTGCCATTCTTCGGATGAGACATTAAACCAAGTCTGTGTCTGCCATTTCAGGTGGATGTTAAAAATCTCTTGGCTCTGTTTGAAAAGAGAAGGGAGTTTCTCCCAAATGAAATTGATCACTCACTCCGTGGCTGTTTGTGGGACATTGGTGTGCGGGTTGTTGTGGTCACCCAAAAAATACAGTCAAACCATTTTCCATTATATCCTGAAGCTTTGAGACGTCTCGACGATGTGATAAGGCACTCCATCAAATGCAAGGATTATTTGCATACAGTGGAGTCCTGTAGCTCAGTGGTTAGAGCACTCGCTTTGCAAGCGAGAGACCTGAGTTCAATTCCAGACAGGGCGAAACCTTGGGCAAGTTTCCTTACTCCACACAGAGCCTAATAATAATCCCTTCAAAAAACAAAACAATAATAAAATTGGTCATTTTCAATCTACGACTGTTTGTGGGACATTGCTGTGCGCAATTGGCTGCCGCGTTCGCCCACAAATATACAGTCAATTCACTTTACAGTGTGTTCTGTGAAGCGCTTTGGGACGTCCTCCTGACGTGAAAAGCGCTATATCAAATGCAAGGATTATTATTATTATTATTATTATTGTTGTTGTCTGTTTTGCTTACCAGACAGTGGTATCAATGGCATGCTATGCAGTTTTAGCTAGTTAGACTCTAGCAATAACCCCAATGCCCACTCTGGGGTTCCTTGGCTCTTGCCAACATGTATCTAATGCTTTCCGGAATTATGTAAGCAGGATGTGTCCCTCTTGGAAGAGAGTGTGCAATCCATTCCAATAATCGATCTCTGGAATTTCCATGTGGAGGTGGGATGCATGGAATTTTCAGTTTGGTTTGGAGACTCTTAAACATGGTGATGGGTTTCCACATGTTTCAGGCACACGGCTGACCATGCACGTACAAACAAATGTTGCTATTGCTTTACAATTATTGACTGCTGTTGATTATAACAATTGGCGTTGATGCTCTTCTAGGCGATGTGGAAACCAGCCTACGACTTTCTGCTGACGTGGAGTGGGCAGATCGGTGAGAGCTACCGAGACGTGACCCAGGAGTTGCACTTGGGGCTGGATAAAATGAAGCATCCCATCACCAAGCGCTGGAAACACTTAACAGGCACTCTCATCCTGGTGCACTCGCTGGACATTCTGCGGTCTGCTGCCTTTAGCCCCTCTGACAACGATGATGCTGCCATTTAATGGGCCGGGACTTTGCTCAGGGGAAGGATTTGCTGGACAGATCCTGTGAGTGGAGTTGGCAACGGTTCGCTCTCTCCTCATCGATGTCCCAGTCACCCCTGCTCACGTCACACAGCCTCCCATTAGTGCTGACTCTTTGGGGAGGGGGGAAAGGGGGGGATCAATCCAGACAAACTCAGCGGCTTTATGGCACCATCTGGACCTATGACACCAGGGCAGGCAGACGAATGTCTAGCCGCTCACTCACCCACCACCACTTTGATATAAATCGGTGCCTGATAATGTTGGCTGACTTTGCTGGGAGTTCAGCTGTCGTTTGTTTGCACATCTTAAAGTCAATCCAATTTATATAGGGTGGGGGTGAGGGGGGGATTTTTCGCTCAATGAATTATCGAAGAAATTAAAACAAAAAGGTTCAACACTTTCTGCAATTGATTTGACACTTTGTTTTGGGTACAAAGTCCTGTTACCCCATGTTTGTTTCTACAGTGCACTGACCAACAACTGAAACATGGAAGAATGATGATAATTGTATTTAGAAGTACTTAATTGTATTCAGTACTAGTATTTAATTGTATTTACACATCCAGAGGATCAGTGTGAGCTCCAACATTTTCATGGCAGATAATGATCTGTCGCCATATTCAGTGCGACATCTTCTATAATATGGTCGGAGTGAGGAGGACGTTACTGATATCAGACATTGTTACACTCGGCTTATCTACAAAAGCAAATAAAAATTCACTGTAAGAAATAAAATAGGTGAGTAACATGACATTGTGGTTACCAGGTACAGAGAGAGAGGAGCTATTCACTGCCTTCCCCATCACCTCTTTCTCTATTTGACACTGCCTTAGAGAGTCGGTACTTTTAATGCTGTGGAGGCCAGGCCACTGACTGGTTCAGGGTTTTTTTTTAAATTGTACATTTGAACCAACGTACACTTAAAAACCTGGATGTTCCTTTTAAGTGGTGTAAGTTTCAGAGGTGATACAAACGACCTCACATTTCACTCACTTCCTACACTAACACAAACAGTTCCTCCCTTCCTTTCTTTGAGAAGAGAGATGTCTGTGCCTTCCCAGAGATATGGGAAACTGATCCCGCTCTCTTTCCCCCGCCCCCCACCATCATCTCCTAGCCTCTGAATCCCATGAGCATCTGCTCTGACAGGCCTTTCACCTGTAATCCACACTGTACCCCACCCATTGCCTGATTTCCACGCGCAGAGAGAGGCAGAGATTCATCTTGTAAAGCCAGCTTGTGGCTGAGTCATCCCTCTTCCACACACAGTCACACAAAATCGCAATCTCACACTCACCCACACGTTCACATTCACAAGTGCTCACATACGGGCACGCTCACACATGCACACACACTGCACATGTTTACACTCAAGCATGCTTACACATGCACACACAGTCACACACATGCTTGCTCACTTACATGCACACACAACACACAGGCTCATACCGCACCCGCGAATGCATGCACGCAGTCGCCTAAACGTGCACATGTATACATACGTGAGTGCACACACACCACACCTCCGTGGGATGATCACCCCCCTTCTTGCCAGACTTCACTGACTCCCGATCCTCCAGAGGATGGAGTTCAAGATCCTTCTCCTTTTAAATTCCTTCACGGTCTTGCTCTTCCTACCTCTGCAACCTACTAAAACTTCACCAACCTGTCTACGTCCTCCGCTAGCCTGTTCCATGTCGCCTGCCCTGCCTGTTCCACTATCAGCGGTCAGGCCTTCAGTCTTTCTGCCCACACCCTCTGGACCTCCATCCCAGAGCCCCTCCCCTTCAACTTCTCTTGCCTCCATCAACAACAACAACAACAACAAGATTCCATTTATTGAGCGCCTTTCACGTCTGGAGGACGTCCCAAGGCGCTGTACAGTTGGGTCAGGACCCGAGCAAGGGGGAAATGGTCAGGGTGAGGGAAGGGAGGGAGCGAGGAGGGGGTAGAGAGTCGAGAGGGGAGCTGAAGGTTCGGTCAAAGAGAAAGGTCTTGACACCGGCCTTGAAGGAGGAAAGGGAGGAAGCAAGGTGAAGGCACTGGGGGATAGAGTTCCAGAGCCTAGGGGCTGAGAGGCTGAAGGCCCGACCACCGATAGTAGGGCGGTTGGGGCGGGGGATGTGGAGCAGACCGGAGCCAGAGGAACGGAGGGTACGGGCGGGTAGGTAGGGGGATAGTAGGTCGGAGAGGCAGGAGGGAGCAAGGCCGTGAATGGCCTTGTAGGTGAGGGTGAGGATCTTGAATTCGAAGCCATCAAGGCCTGTCTCAAGACCTTCCTCTTCAATTGTGGCTTTGGTCTTCTTCCCTTCTCCATTACCCCCCCCCCCCCCGCCCCTTGTCCTCTATCCTCTCCGCTCCCAACCCTCAGCTTGGGTGCAAACCCCTCATTGTCCAGGGCCTTGAGTCATCCTCCTGCCCTGAAAGGCGTTATATAAATGCAATTTGTTGTTCTTGTTGCTCCTCTCACCGCCAACGTGCTCTGAAACGTGTGTTGGAGCCAGGGACAAAATACCAGGGTTTAGAGTGCACCCTCTGCTGAGCCCAGACGCTCTCAATCTCAAGAATTCGCCTGCGATCCTTAGAGTGTTGATCCCATCCCATGGTAACCTGCCATGCTGTCTCTCCTCAGTCAGTGTAGCAAACTTGGCACCCAGTGGTCAAGCCTTTTCCAAGATTTGTTCTTTAATAACAACTTTAGCTTGGTGGTTAGTGCTGTGCAAGCAAGAGGAACCCGGATTCAATTCCCAGATGGGCCAAAACCTTAGACAAGTATGCATATGCTTATTGCATATGCCTCTGTTTACCTAGCAGTAATTATGAACCTGGTTGTCAGTCAATTGGCTAATTGCTTTTCAGGCATAATATTCCCTCCAAATGGTCACTCAATCCACAACTGTTGGACATTGTCGGCTATCACATTTCATCCACAAATACACAATATATTCTGTGAAGCACTTTGAGACATCACACCAATATGATAAGGCGCTATATCAAGGATTCTTACTATAACTTGCATTTGCATAACACCATTCACATGCATGGGCGGAGTCTCAGTGCACTTAACACTGATGGGAGCCTGCCAACCAGGCGGGGGGAGGGAAGAGGTGACCGTAGGTACAGTTGAAGAGGAAGGTTCTCAGTCGTGATCTAACCACTTTTCATCTGTGTCTCTTCCGGAAGAATGGCCATCTGCTTGCATTTGCCATGCAATTGGCCGCAAAAGAAAAATCAAGTTGATGGAAATGGTCTCCATGTGAAACACATCAGATAGAAACCACGGTCTGATGGTGAGCAGTGTTGCTGAGCCGGCTTTGTCAGAGAGAAGTGGTGGCCAACGTTTTTTGGTCGCCAACGAAATAAATTTTTCTTTTGCCAATTTTTTCTTAAGTTATGGCTGGCGTACAGCGGCTCGGTAGCTACCAGAAATGAGCTATTGATCTGGCGCAGACTCGCCTGGACTGGAGTGAGTGTTCAGCAGGCAACTGCTGTTGAGTGAACTGAACACCGTTTTTTGTTGCATTTGTTGCTTGTCCTGTTTTCTACAGAAAAAAATGTTTTTTGTCATTTTTACACTAACGTGTTTTAGATCCTGGATTCTATTGATTTGTAAAGGAAATTGCTACTCGTGTTTGCGATCCAGCGGTGTACATGGCACTAAATTCCATTCCCCCATCATACTAGTTCTTGCCAAGCTCCACTGATTACCTATCACTGAATGGATCAATTTAAAGATCCTCACACTCGTCTACAAATCCCTTAATGCATTGGCACCTCCCTAATCCACCACCTGCCACCTCCACTCAAGTGGCTCCGGCCTCCTGCATGTCCCTTGTGCCCTTTGTTCCACCAGCGACAGCCGTGCTTTCAGCCATGATGACCCGAAACTCTGGAACTCACTCCCTCAACCCGTCAATCTTGCCTCCTTCTTTGCATCTTCAGAACACACCTGAAGACCTTCCTCTTTGACCGTGTTACATTCCCCCATAGCTGTGAGTTGGTTGCAAGTACAACTCTTGAGCTAAACTACAGTTTACCATCTCATCCGAAGGCTCATTGTATTCCCCAACTCTTGAGCAGCTGGTCTCGAAGCAATGAACCCCAATGATGCCGCACTGAGCCCTTCAGATAAGGCATTAAACCCAGGTCTCATCTCACTGTGTCAGCTTGGCACATTCTCACCTCTGAGTCAGATGGTTGTAGTTCAAGCCCAATGTCCAGACTTGATCTCATATAGTCCAAGCTGACATTCCAGTGCAGTTGCATTGTCAGAGGTGCCATCCTTTGGATGAGAGGTCCCGTCTGTCTGTTTATTACTCAAACGCACTTCTCGCTGGTCTCCCCAGCTCGACTATTCAAAAAATCCAGCTCATTCAGAACTCTGCTGCCCGCAAACTTACCCGGACCAAACTCCATGCCCACATCTCACCAATTCCAGCCAGGATCCACTGGCTCCCCATCACTGAACAGATCGACTTCAAGATCCTCACACTCATGTTCAATTCCATTCAGTCCCTGGCACCTCCTTACCTCTCCGATCTCCTCACTCCCCAATCCACCACCTGGCACCTCCTCTCAACTGACACAAGCCTCCTACTTGTCCCTCAGACTTTCCGCTCCACTGTTGGAGGTTTTGCTTTTAGCCACTATGCCCCGAACACTGTGGAACACTCTCTCTCAATCCCTCCACCTTGCCCAGTTCCTTTCCGACCGTACTTCCAGTCCGTCACCCCCCCACCCAGCTCGGAGTCAGGCTCTGCCACTCTTAAGCACTCTAAGATGCTACCCTGCATGGAGGGCGCTATATAAGTGCAAGTTGTTGTAGTAGTAGTTAGGTGGATGTTAAAGATCCCATGGCACTATTCAAAAAGAGAAGGGAATTTCTCTCAGTGTCCTAGCTAAAAATCACCCAAATAAAAGTGGTTAACAACAACAACAAATGTCATTTATATAGTACCTTTCACGTTGGAAGGACAACACTCTCTCAACGGCTGTTTGTGGGGCATTGCTGTGCGCAATTGTGCTGCCACATTTGCCTACAAATAGAGTAATTTCATTTTACAGTAAATCCTGCAAAGAGCTGTGAGACATCCTTCTGACGTGATAAGGCACTATACCAAATGCAAGGAATATTATTTCAACTACTGTTGTACGGTGATTCCTGACTGGCAGACAAAACGTTGCCTATACGCTAACTACCTATGGTTTGGATGGTATTATCTACAATGGATGTCAATAGACTTCAACAAGTTTAGTTTTGCGATTACAACAATAACAACAAATTACATTTGTATAGCACCTTTCATATCAGGAAGACATCCTAAGGTGCTGAACAGTCAGGGATCTAAACCCAACTGGTGGTTGGGATCAGGAGGGGTGGAGGTCAGGGAAGGGAAGGGA